CCCCCCCCCCGCAGCGTTCAAGGTCACGGATGAGGGTAGCCGGACAGGCAGAGAGGACATTAGAGCCCCCTCCCTTGCTGCCGCAGTGCCTCGCGCTGGCGCCCACCTGGAGGCGGAGACGGGCTCTGACGTCACCAAGAGCCAATGAGAGCCCTCGGCCCTGGGGATCGGGGGACTCAAAGCGCGTCTGGCTGCGGCCTTTGGGGCGCCCCTCTTGGGGACCTTTGGCCTCTATCAGGATTACCTGGATCTGAACTCCTGGGTCGAGAGGGTGCAGGGAGGTCGGTGGAGGGTTCAGCCAAGGTCAGTGGGCAACCGGGCTGATGCTCCCGATGGCCTGTTCAGGCCCAGCCCAGCCCATCCCCGGGGCCTGAGCCTTAGTGGCGCAAGCACTGCGACTTAGCCCCCGCTGCCCCTGGTGGGGCATGGGGACCTGGGCGGCCACACCGGGACTGGGAGGGGCAGACACTGCCCTCACACACACACCCACGGGGTGGTGGAGATCTGGGAGGACCACGCCCTGGGCCCTGACTTGTGCTCTGCAGGCTAGAGCTGACCCTGCTCCGAGAACTATGCCGCAGGAAGCGCACTGCAGCTCTTGTGCTGTGGATGCCCTCTCCTGCCCCCAGCCCACCCTCCATAACACCGTGTGCCCCTCCTGCCCCATCCCACCTTCCTTAGCACTGTGCACTCTTCCTGCCCCAGGCCCTGCCCTCCAGAGCCAACAGAGCATGGGGGGTGGGGATGAGGCAGGGCCCCCCAGCAGGGACACGCACCCTGTGGAGAGGCTGCCTGCTCAGAAGTCTCTTGCATGGAGCTTGATCTCTTCCTCAGAAAAAAGCAGCCTGAGGCTGGCACCCGGCAAGGTCCCCCTCTGCCTTCTCGGAACTTGGCCTTGGGCAAGTCAGTTCTTTGCTAGCCTCAGTTTCCTCCTCTGTGAGAATAAATGAGAAGGTACATGAAGAGCATCTGGTCAGTGGTCAGTGAGCAGGAAGTGTTCCTTGTTTGGACAGTCCTGAGGGAGGACAGGCCTGGGCCGTGGGGAGGCTGTGGCGGGCTCAGGCCTGCCTGGAGGACTCCCAGAAGTGTGGCTCCCGGGGTGCAGCCTCGAGCCACAGGGTTGGCACTGCCTTGTCTCTCCCCACTGGAGACAGGCCTCGACAGTGGTCCTCTGAGCCCAGACCCAAGAAGGCCAGTCCCCAAGAAGATGTTCCCTGCCTGAGTCTCCACTTTCCTGTCGGAGGCAAGAACTTAGGTTGTCTCTGAATCTGAGCATCCTAGTGTCCTCCACTTGAAAGATGCGGAAAAGAGCTCCTTCTCTCTTGCATGGCACCTGGCACACAGTAGGTGCTCAGTCACATCTGACTGTCCTTGACCCTAGCCCCACCTCCAACTCCCTGGGGCCACCCCCCTGTAGTTCCCAGGACTCCCCCTGGTGCCAGCAGGGCTGTTTATTCAGCTTTGACAGACCCTCTTGGAGCCTCCCCATGAGTGGCCAAGAGGGAATAGTTTGCAGAAGGACCAGCCAGCAGGGCGCCTCCCCAGGGCTTAGAGGTGCCCACCCACGGCAGCCCCGTTTCTGGGCCCCTTTCCAAGTGCTAAACACTCGGCAGATATCAGCTTGTTTAGTTCTCACAGAGTCCTGATGAGGTGGCTCAGGCAGCGGTGGCTAAGGCACAGAGAAGTGCATGCCCTGCTCAGAGTCACACAGTAGGGGCCGGAGCGGGTCTTGAACCTGCAGCATCCAGCTCCTGCTTCCTGGAGAACTGACGACCCTGAGCAGCGAAAGCAAAGGTGTGAACACAAGAGGACCCCAGAGTGGCCGCTGCAGAAGGCCTTTGGGGAGGGGGTGGGAGTCTAGCCTGAGGGAGGCCTTGGGGATCACGGAGAGGCAGGAGCAAGAGCCTGGAGGTGGAACCAGGGGCCGGTGTCAGGGTGGGAGGCTGGGCTGGCCAGCAAGGGGTCTTTGCCGTGAATTCTAGGTGAGCTGTTGAGGCCAGTCCCCTTCAGGAGCTGCGGCCCTTTTGAAGGCTTCTGAGTCGAGGGGGAAATATGGTGCGGGCGGGACTCAGTGGGGATGGCAGAGCTGTCCTGGAGGGGCTGCAATGAGATGGGGAAAATGGGCTTCACTGGACCCTGGAGGCCTGAGTGCAGCAGGGCCTGAGCCTGGGCCTGGGCAGTGGCAGCTCGTCCCACTGGCTGGTTTGCAGAGGAGACCAGAACTTTCACATGCAGACCAGTTCACGTTGCCCCTGTGCCGAACAGCCTTGGGAAGGGGTGCTCCCTCTGGTCTGTCCTCTCTGGGGGTGGCTGGGGGTGGTGAGAAGGGGACACCCCACCCTATGGGGGTGAAAGTCCCGCCAGAGGCCCAGCAGCCCCCAGGCTGCCCCACAGTATCATTTCCCGAAAGAGCCAGGACTGGGGGCTGTCCGGAGTGTCCAGCGCTGTCTCTCCCCTCCAGGAGCACGACATCGAGACGCCTTACGGCCTTCTGCACGTGGTGATCCGGGGCTCCCCCAAGGGGAACCGCCCGGCCATCCTCACCTACCATGACGTCGGTCTCAACCGTAAGTGCACCTCAGCATCGTTTGGCCCTCCACTGCCTCGAATCTCCCGGAACAGTGAGGCCCCCCTCCCTCCCCACAGAGCCCCGTAGATCCCCACTCACGCTTAGCTCTGTGCCCCTAGCCATTTGGGTCTCGGTTTCCCCGCTGAACCATGAGGCTGATCACCTCTGCCTCGACCTCCCTTTCAGCATCCATGGGCCTCCCTGCCCACCTCTCCCAGCTCAGCCACAGCTGAGATCTTTGTCTTTGCAGACAAGCTGTGCTTCAATACCTTCTTCAACTTTGAGGACATGCAGGAGATCACCAAGCACTTCGTGGTGTGTCACGTGGATGCCCCCGGTCAGCAGGTGGGGGCCTCGCAGTTTCCTCAGGGGTAGGTACCCGGAGCGACCCACCCCCCAGCTTTCCCCAGCCCTGTACCCCTGGCTGCACTGGGCCTGACCTCCTGCTCTGCCTGCAGGTACCAGTTCCCCTCCATGGAGCAGCTAGCCGCCATGCTCCCCAGTGTGGTGCAGCACTTTGGGTGAGTCCTCGCCCTGCCCTGCCCCTGTGCTGGGGGCCAGGGCGTGCCCACCATCTCCGCAGAGCCAGCAGGCTCCAGCTGGGCACTGAGGGCTATGGGTGGGTCTGCTGTGGATGGCAATCATGGGAAACCCCTAGAGTGACCAGCCATGCTCTCTATCAGGTTCAAGTACGTGATTGGCATTGGCGTGGGAGCCGGAGCCTACGTGCTGGCCAAGTTTGCAGTGAGTCTCTCCACCCGCCCCTGTAACTAATCCCAGGACTGGTCTCTCCCAGGGGCAACCCCACAGGAACTTTCCTTCTTGTCTTCCTTTCCTCCTCCCCCTACTTCCTCTTCACTTAGGAAAAGTCCTTTTTTCTTTTTTTTCTACAAGGAAATTAACTTAAAAAAAGGTTACCTTTTCTATACAATTCCTTAAAACACTATGCGCCATAAGTTGCTTCAACCACTATCCAAAACCAAACTTTCTCTTAGCAACAAACTATACAACTAATTACTCCAGCCACTAAATAAGGATTATCCTAATCACTCATTCACTAATTAGGGTAATACTTAAACATGAATCATTTTTTAATCTAAAATTACACTTATGTTAAGTTTGCGAGGTTTAAAGAAAGTCAGGTTTCAGAAACATCATGGCGGGTAGGAGCTCACAAGCTTTCCATCTCTAAAAGCAAAAACTTAATTTTAGGATTCAAAGTATTTCTTTCTTCAAAAAAAAAAGAATAAAACAAAAAAACTGACTAAGAATTTTCAACTCCAATTTCCACTGCAGAACTTAACCACTTTGTTAACTGTCAACTATTCCCAGCCACCCCCAGACAACCTTGACATGACCTCAGTATTGTATATATATCACCATTTTCCCCTAACACAGGCAGACAGTCGAGCAGAAAACTCGAATCTCTTTTACAATATCTAACACAAAACAGGCTTTGGAAAGGTCAGTTTCTTAATATCACTAGGGTTTTTTCTGTGAAAGCAAAGAAACAAAATATTTCACTGAAGCTGTTTAATCCTTAGTGTTGCAATAGTAGCCTCTTCAAAGGTATATTAAAGGGGCTGAAAGACAGTGAAATAGGCATAGATAGATTCCACATAAAACGGTTTGAAAGGTTCCAGTTGGGGAGGAGGATGGGCAGGGGCTGAAGGCACTTGGTTATCAGTGGTACCTTGAAGCCCTTACAGAGCGCGGCCTTCTCTTCAGATCCTAGCAACCGCCTGTGAGACGGGCAGGGCCAGAATTTTACAGTCCGTTTTCCAGGTGGGAAGACTGGGCTCCCTGCCCCGCCCCCCAAGCCCTGTCTCCCTGTCCCGGCAGCTCATCTTCCCCGACCTGGTGGAGGGGCTGGTGCTGATAAACATCGACCCCAACGGCAAAGGCTGGATCGACTGGGCGGCCACCAAGGTGAGCGCGCGGTCCTCCTGGAAGGGATGGGGTGGGGTGGGGTGGGGCGGGGCGTCCCTCACACTGGCTCCGCCTCGGCCCGCAGCTCTCCAGCCTGACCAGCACTTTACCCGACACGGTGCTCTCCCACCTCTTCAGGCAGGTAAGGTTCTCTCCCACCTCACGCAGGAGCCGGAGCGGCGGGTTGGGACCCTCCCGAGGGCCTGGTTCTGCCCCCCCTCCCGGCCGGGCAGGAGGAAGAGGGTGGCGGGGTGATGGGGCATCAGACATGCCTGACCCCTACCCCGGGATCAGCCAGGTAGATGACAGAAAATTTGAGGAGGACAAAGATAAATATTTTAACTTTAAAGTGTGCTGTTGCTGATTCATGCTATATGTGTCATTAGCTTGCTTAGCAAGATTGGACATTAAAAAAATACCTTAGTGAGACTGCAGCACCCGAGACGGACTGGGGAGACGGATGGGGCGGGGTCCCCTCCCCTCCCAAGGCCGTGGGCTCCCCCCACACACCCTTCCCCCTCCCCCATCCCTCCCCACCTCTGGGGCTGGGGCAGGGGCCCCTCCGGCCAGAGGTGCTCCCTCTGAGCCAGTCCCGGTCTGTGGCTCCACACCGCCCTGCCGCGCGTGCGCTCATCCCCCGTCCCCGGGGCCCAGGAGGAGCTGGTGAGCAACACAGAGTTGGTGCAGAGCTACCGGCAGCAGATCGGGAATGTGGTGAACCAGGCCAACCTGCAGCTCTTCTGGAACATGTACAACAGGTGCGGGCGGCTCGGGTCCCAGCTGGCGGCACCAGGACGGGAGCGCTCACGCAGTTGGGGAGCCCCCCTCCCCGGAACAGCTGCCCACGACTGGCAACACACTCTCCCAGTTCGTAGATGAGTGGACCGATGAGCCTCCGAGAGGGGTGACCTCTTGCCCAGGGTCACACCCCGCGAGGGGCAGAGGGGGAGCAGAGCTCTTCCACTCCTCCCCCTCCCTTGGGCGTTGCCAGTGGGAGCAGCGGGGGATGTGGGCGCCACCTGCTGCCCCCACTGCCCTGAGCCTCAGTGCTGACATCCGTAATTTGAGAGGAGGTTGGATTAAGTGCTCCTTGGAGCCCCTTAGGGGTTGCCCTGAAGGGGAGTGGCCGGGCCCCCCCCCCCCCCCCCCCCCCCCCCC